ACCTCCCAAAAGTAACAACTAGATAAAATTTTGACGTTGAAAATCGAACTTTTGTTGTATTATAATATAGGGTACCGTGTATGTACATAGGTACAGATAACTGCCACAAAACAAGAAATCATCATCGTAAAATCAATACATTTATCGATACTCTCAGAATCTAAAATCGGGGCTCAGTTATAATTTACATTTTTATTGGGTACCTACCTAAAAAAGCAGCTCAAATAAAATCTAATTGTAACATAATTTTAGCACACCCTATAAAACAAAAACATACATCATAGTATTATATAGTATTATACACATGAATTCATCTCCAGTCGCGCCAACGAAACTATTACCTACTTGTTTGTTACTACGCACTACAATAATTATTCGTGTGATGAATTCTGGAAATTTCAATAGATAGGTTGTACATAGGTTCAAACACGCACTTAGCGAAAACAGCATAAACGTTTAAATCCTGGTTTAATGATTCCGTGGTATAAATCACACCAATCTCGGTAGGCCGTAGGCGTGCGAAATCGCAATTTCACGTAGGTATACCTATACCGCAGTCGAGAAAAACAACATACTATTATATCTAAGTATAATATTATCAACATTATAATATATATATTTTATGGTGCATTATAGTATAATAACAAAGTTTATGTGAGCGCCTATTTAACGGTCGGAGTTTTTTTTTCTTCTACAAACCAATCAGCATTAATTATTTAAAATCAGGTTCGGACCCTCCGCATTAATATTATAGTCTACGCAGTGAACAAAATATTACCTATTATATAATGATGTATAATATATACTCGTACAGAATAACGGAGTATATAGGTAGCTATACATACATTATTATGTTACGTACACTGCAGGATGATGCACTCAAACGAATCGAAATGCCGTAAAGGCGTACGTGCACCATTAAAATCAATCTTTCCGTAGGTTCTAAAAAAATATATATACCTACAAAGGTGCGTATAAATTATTAAAATGTGTATACAAACGCCCATTTTCCGCGGACACCGCCTAAATTACAAGTAAGTAGGTGCCTTCCAGTAGTGATATCATACACTCAATATTATACGTTATATATATATATACACAATACACAGCGTATATTATAATATACGCACTGCTGCAGCGGTTCGACAGGATAGGTAGGTATAACCTACCTGTTAATTATAATAAAAGATGTACCTATACAGTATACACACCTATTTACCTGCCGCGCGGAAGATTGTAATTACGTATACCGTAAGCCGTAAATAATTTTAACCAACTGCGGTTAAGACTTAATTAAAACACATCAATCATATTATTATGGTGGGGCTACGAATATTAATACAATACCTACCCTACCTACTATACATACGCATACGCATGTACGTGACAATATGCACCTACCGATGTACCTATATGTATGTATATTTGTATAATAAATAAGGACTATACCACTGTAGTATTTAAACCGCGCTGCATTGATGAGCCCATGATAGTTTATAAATTAGTTATAACTCGTAACAAACGACCGTTTTCCAGAATACGACAACAATTGACAGTGATGGTTTTTTGATTTTTTTTTCTAGAAGGGGAGGGGGGTCCTTTATCATTATCTTTTAATATATGAAGACAAATTGAGTCCAACCAGTTAATAATTACTAAATAAAATTGAATTCTTACTTAAACGAAAAAACATAACAAACATTTAAGTTACAAGACAAAATCAACTTTTCGTTTTTTCTTTGTTAATTTGTCCAAAACTTCGTCGGCCGTTAATTTCAAATCTTTATGAATACACATCATAGCTAGACCATTTAATCTTTTCTGAAATATTTAATAAGCAAATTAAGCTTAAATAAATTTAAGAAAAAATTAAAAACTACAATCACAATAAAAAATAAAAAATCATGTACTTAGATTAAAATTAACTACATACTATTTTGAGTCAAATAATATAGATAATTACTTTGTAAATTAAAAAGCAAAACAATTTAAAATTGTTATTGCACATTAATAAAATGTGTAATAAACCCTAAATACATTTCAAGTTTGATTCAAATTGAATGGTAATCTTAGTCCTTAGATTAAAAGAATATTTGTGAATAAACTCGTAAATGGCAACTATTTGTACAACAAGATTAGCTGTAGCAAACATTCAAATATACAGAATAATAATGATGAAATCACCAGAATTAAATATAAACGTATATCCGCATATAAAAATCGTAATAGCTAGTAAAAACCCCAACGCCCCGAGCGAAAAATGTATCACAGCCTAAATTTGAGGGATCCAGCCCCCCTAGACCCCCCCCCCCCGTAAAACCGCCACTGAGGATCAATGTCCAATAAACAAAAAAATCAAAACTAATAAATACAATATATTTACCCGGTGTTGTACGATTGAGAATTGAGAACGTTTTAAATTTTTATAGCAACACGATTGAGAACGATGTCGGCAGATCAAAGAAACAATATTTTGTACCTTAAAATCAAACGATTGAGAACGATATTCATACCGTTAATAATTTACACTTATATTTATATAAATAAATTATAATATAAAAAGGATAATTATTATTATGACATGTCACAAAAATGTTATCTTCTTAAAATTGGGTATAAATGGCAATAGCCGCAAAAGGTGATTAAACTAAAATTCTTAGTTCTGACATGGAAGTCATATGACATATTTTTTCTATATTGCACTTTAGGTTTAACCTTTCTATGATAAGACAATAAGAAAGAACAGATTCCGCTATTTTTCCCTCCATTAAGGAGATCGGTGGTGGACAGTTTTTAAGGAGCTCGGAATAGGCAATTTTCAAATTGCATATATGCGGGTCTTGTAAATGTGTACGTAGTAAGTGATGATTTTTTTATATAGTGTGTGAATGTGTATAAAAGAAATAGCGGAGCGTTCCCACCGCCGCCGCGCATGTAGAAGTCATCTATTCAACGTTGCGCGAGTGAAGTAAACAATAATTCATGTTCATTTGTATGCACTTTTTATTCATCTTACCGATCGACCTAATAAGTAATAATGGTATAATATTTAAGCAAACTGATCTGGATTAGTTATAATATGTACTTCGGACAGTCCATATTTTAAGATTTCTGAGGCAAATTCCAAATAATCAACTTTTAAAAATTCAAAATTTCAAAATATTCAAAATCAAAATACTTTATAGTTGTTGGGGTGAAATTGGGAAAGTATAGGCTGAATGATCTCAAGTAAACATAATAACTAATTCATATCAGTTCGAAAAAGTATTATTGTATATCTAGGTCGATAAGTATGATGGACAGAAGATTGGTTAGGTTATTTATGTTTTGGCTAAAATAGCTGTCCGCCATCGATCCTCTTCAGATATAAATGATAATTTATACACAATAAACATATTACATTTTGTTCAATTGATAATTGTTATGGTATAATCTATAATATATACCTAGGTAGATATTATATAGTATATACTATATATATTTATATGTACGATGTACCCATACTGTAAAATTTAACTTCTTTTAAAACTACGATTTCAAATTATTTTAGTCTGGTTCAGTAAGTACGTAACTATATATGTTCTTGATTTTTAGTTTTTGGAGACTTACTAACTAGGCATATCATATCATGTTGGTAGTTGGAAGTTATAAATTTTATTTTATTACAATAGGATTAAATAATAATCCAAATTATATTTAAGGTAGTCAGTTGTTACATAGTCAACAAACATGATGTATTGATGTTCATTGTTTTTCTCCCAAAGAAATGTTAATTAAGCATAAAATGTATTATTATAGTTCTCATCCAAAAATGCTGTTATCATTGGACCATAATATGAATGATGGTAACTTGTGAGTTGCTGCCTTTCAAACATTCTTCGGTAAAGGTGATGAATGATGGTATAGGCAAAGTATCACCAGAATAATATTAATTTTAAATCTTTTGTGTCTTTTGATATTGGACCTATTATTTTATCATAAACATTAAATCATATTATAGTTAATCACAACTCACTAAGTTAAAAAAATTGTTTACCTATTGAAATACATAAACAGTTGACAAAAAAACTATAAGAGCCAAATTAAAAATACGATATAAGTATTAATACACAAATGAAAAAAAATGTGAGAACCAATACTTCTCAATAAAATTCAATTTTACAGTATTCTCGCATACAAACAATAAAAATAAGTTGAAGATGGAAAAGAAGGTCATTATTTAAAAGCTACTTATACATCATTTTTATAAATTACATCTAATCACAACAATTTGCTTATAATAACCAACAATTTAACAATCGATTAATTAAACAATTTCATATTGAAATAAGAAAATGTGTTGCAACAAAAAAATTTTGATACGCAAAAATTTAATTTTTTGAATGAGTAATATTATTTATTGTTTAAGTGTTGATGAATATAGTAGTGAACCAACATTTTTTAATTACCTAGAGTAATATTTTAAGTAAGGCATCTAGCAGTAATATAACATACATTGAGAGTATAATACATTTTTTGAACAATTTGCTAATTATTATCTACAGACAATTAATATATGTCAAGGCTTTACTGTGAAACAGCTGATAAATGACTAGAAAGAAAATATTGTAGTTCAAATAATTTTTCTTGTACAATTAGTTTCGACCTGTTTGAACTAATTATCTGTTATTTGATTGATAATTTATTCACTTCATCAGATATCACTAACATAATAATTATGTTCACCCAAATTTACCATTTTGTGTAGACTGTAGAGTAGAACATTCCTTTTAGATATATTGTTTAAAACCAAATAATTTTTGGTTTACTTAACATTTATATTTTATACATTTTTATCAATTAATAAGGAAATATTAAACCCACACAAAACAGTTTAAAATAAAATACAAATTTATCTTTACAGCGTTTAATTATATAAAAAAATACTTAAAAAATAATTTTACATTAGTTATCACCAAAATAAATTGAATAAGAACAGTTTGTCAAATGTCGACTATTCATTATTTAAAAAAAAAAAACAATATGAACTGAATAAACAATACTAATACCTACATTGGGTTTCCGAATTCCTAATTTTGTATGAAGCATTTAAATATGCCACTAAAAATAAATAATGAGCACTGAATTTTGAGAAAGGGTGCTCTATTTTTAAAATAATTAATCAGTAAAATATTTTTACAATTATATAGGTTTTTGAATTAAATTTAATAGCCCTATATATAAAAAAAATATTATATTTTTTATTATTTGATCAGATTATCAATGTTCACAAAGTATGGTAGGCACCACCACGTCCCAAGTAAAAGAATCGGTATCCAACAAATCCGACTGCAACAATACCAAAAGCTAGGACCATGCCACCTGAAATTAATGAATAAAAACATGTTATAATAAGTAACTTTTTATATTTTTGAAATATAAATTAATTTCAATCATACCTAAGAAACTTGGACCATCCCAACTTCTAGCAGGAGATGGGGCTGGAGTTGGTTCTGGAGTAGGAGGAATAGTGGTCGTAACATTTGGACCCAACGTAGTTGTTGTAACATTTGGACTCGAAGTGGTTGTTGTCACATTTGGTGCATGAGTTGTAACATTTGGAGATAGTGTAGTTGACGTAGGACGTTGGGTTGTAGTTGTGGTTGTAGTTGTAGTTGGCTTTTGAGTAGTCGGTATTGATGTAGTTGAGTTGTTAGGTATTGGTGGATTCACAGTTGTGTTTCCAGCTGGGGATGGTTGAGTTGGTTCTAAAAAATGATATAAAATAATTAGTAAAAATATACTAATATAAGTAAAATATTTCTTAGAAAGGTGCTTATTATTATATCATTCTTACAATTTATAGCATAACATACCCATGTTACATAAATATTTATTAAAGAAAAGTGGCGTGCTACTAGATATTATTGGTCTGCAAGGAAAATTAGCAAAGGAATCATAGGTGTGTTGAATTGTATTTCTATGGCAATAAATAAATTGTTACGAAAACTCAGTCAGGAAAAAAAGTTGTATTCAGTCCAAAAACTTATCTCTGTAAAAGGTATTTGAAGACATTGAATTTTAATAATTTGTTAAAAATAACTAATTAAAATGTTGATTATATAATATTATTTAGACAAACATAGAATCTCTTAAAAAAAAGAGCGGTTGAATAAGCTGGAGAAACAGGAAATTTAAAGGAGTTTGGACGAGCTGAAAATGATTTCAATATTTAATTCATAAATTAACAATATCAAAAATAAACATGGTATACAACTAGCCAATTTAATATTATCAATGTTAAAAACAATATTTTAATTGATTTTATAAAGCTAATTACTTTATGATTTATAAAATTAACAAATGAATCTTGGGCAACAGATGGTGGTCCAATTAAATAAATTGTATTATATTTCGGAAAAGTAATTTAAAACATTTGAAGATAGCATACTTTTAAATTAATTTTTTTTCCTATTTCATGTAAGCCTACATACAATTTTAACTACTGTCAATAACACTAACACTATGAATATTGAAGGCAGAGTGATGCTCCCACCCCACCTAGTTGTTACACTACTGATTGATGCCTCGCCCACCCAAATGAAATCTCTGGTGCCCTGGTGTAAGTACCACCCAACACTTGTTTTGTCACTGATTACACTTAAGTATCTATGTATAGCAAAAAATGAAATACTTTAGTCTATCTTCAGTAACGCTTGAGAGTGACAGTATAACAAATATTGAAACATCTAGAATAATCTACAGTTGTTGAGTGAAAAATGAGACAGGACACCGCTTTGAGTGCCATCACTGTACCACTGTACTCAATGCTTACTACCACGTTGTTGTTACATTTCTATACAAACAAATCTATTAAGTAGTGATGCTACCCATTAGTACTGGGAACCACAAAAGAAATACAAATACATTACAAGTACATACACACATAATTGGACAAAAATTGTAACAATGGTAATATATTAATATTAATATTAAGTAGGTTTACACGTAATTCTGATTTGTTCCATACACACAATTTAAATACTAACAGTGGAAAAAATTCATTTTTTTCAAGAGCCATTATTAACGCCAATAGAATCTCCAGTCTTGGATTTTTTCGTTTTGACTTGTCAAGTATTTAAATCTAAAACTTTGTAATTTTTAAATTATAATACCTAAATATTTATTTTATAGTTATGTTTTGTATACCAAAATGTTGTATTTGTATTTCTTACTATTTTTACTTTTATTATTAACACTTGTCTATTGTTTTCATATTGTGCCAATTCACATATAATGTTTTTCTGTCTTTGTTAAAGAGCTTTTATTGGCCTGTTGATTTTATATAAATAAATAAATAAAAGTGATAACTGACAATACACTAAATACAAAATACAGATAATCTACATAGAGAGTATGTCTTCTCTAGAGTCCCTTCTTCATAGTATGCCCATAACTGTAGCCTAATAATTATTTTAAATGACCTGCAAAAATGTTGGGACCAACTTACATAAAAAAAATGAAATGACACCCATGCATTCATTATTACACTAAGATTCTGTTAAGTGATCAATTTAAAAAACGTAATAGAATAAGACAATTGAATTAATAGATAAGAGCAGTTGTCAAATTATAATTAAGTCGACATTTTAAAAGATATTTAAAATGTCAAAGCATGCACAACAAAGATCAAAATATTTTTTTCCAATACAAATTGATAAACAATGTTACAAAGTATAACAAAAATTTTCAAACAATTAAGCGTTATGGAATTGTCTAACAAGATAAGGCTTTAAAATATTCAAAACAATTAAAGATTCAAGGAGTAAGTCAATTCTATTTTAGTGGTTGCAAAAAATACATTATAAACATAATTTAACATAGCTCAAAACAGTTGTAGAAGGTATTAGACCCTAAATTCTTATCTTTGTCCTTAATTGGAGTTAAATGGATAACAATGGTCAGTGTAAATAATCAATTTATTTTATCAAAGAAAAATTGTTTTAGATTAGGTATTAATTCAATCATGAAGAGATCTCTAATCTTCATGAATTCAATGAACAAAATCAAACATAAAACATACAATACATATTTGATTATTATTTAAGTATCTAAGATACTTAGATTTGACATTTTAATATGTTATATCTTGTGTTCAATAGTCTGTTTTGATGTCCTGTCTATATTTTATTCAAGTTATATTACTAGTACGAAAATGAGGAAGATAATAGATATTTTAAAACCTCAAGATTTAAAAACACAATGTAAAATTAGACTGCATTAAAATGTCCAACTGCTGAATGTAACAATTAGCACGGGTAAGCTAAAGATAAAATGTAATACTTATTTACATTATTACCTATTTATCCATCAAAAAACCTTACTGTCTACTTTGTTAAAAGAATTAATGAAGAAACTTTAATATAATTTTAACTATGTAATCAATGCTATCAATGATTAACATTCAAGTTTAATAATATATCAAAATTATAACTACCTTACTAATTATAACCTTACTCAATACTCATAAAAGATAATTTATCATATTCTCTAACAATTGACAATACTTTTATGGTTGCATTATAACTGGGATTACTAGTTACTAGATATTTTCAAACTAAAAAAATTAACATTCTATAATTTTTAAGATAATTTACTTCAAACGCAAATAGATAAAAACAGTAAAGAACAAAACCATAATAATATGACCTATTCATCAATTTGTTTAAGAGATACAAGATAATTTTTTTTTTAATTATTGCAATATCAATCAAATGAGATTATTAGTCCAATAAGAAGTTTAAAACAGAAAAATATAAAATACCCTACACACTGTGATGCATTTATAAGAAATAATGGTTACACAATGTCCAAAATTATCAAAGACATGCTATTGTTTAATAACAATGAATTATTCTACATCTGTTTTATAATTCAATCAGTCAGTTGTGATGTATGAGAAATAATACATGTTTCTAAGGCAGTTTTGTTGAATCGGTTGTATTTCTATAAACAGAAATAACTTTTTAATCATCAAGTTGCAGTGACACAGTCAAAACCATTGTGGCCTAATTTCTCAACCTTGAACACAGTAAGCACTGAACAGTGTTAAAAACAGTCAACAAGAGAAAAAACTGTCGAGGGGCGGATACCAAAATTAACTTAGAAAACAATCTGTTGCGATAAATCAATAACTAACAAAAAGCCTAGCCTAGATAATAATGACAACTAGCTATGGGCTCACATTGCTCACAAAGTCACAACACAAACAATGTGACGTCGGGAACGCAACTTGTAAACACCGCGGCCAAAGTCCAGTGGGTGGTGGGCAGAGAGAGGTGGAAGTACGCGAAGTACAGAAGTCACAATCGAAACGCCACGGAATCAGAGGTTTCATTACGTGGGTGGTGTGGGTACACTAGTAAAAAACCCAAAGCGTTATCTAATTTGTATTTCCCGGTAATGGATTCGTGCGTGCGACAGGTCGCCAAACAATGGCGATCCAAAAGGAAAACCGATCGAAACCAACGTCGATACGTACGTGTCGCCGTTGACCTTGAACGGACGATTATCAATATTATCATAACTATTGATGTTGTTGTTTTCGCCGTCGTATAACGCTATTGAGGCACAATGGCGGATACTCACCAGGACCGACGGACAGCTCGCTGATGTGCTCGACGTGTTCTTTCGGCGCCTTGACGGCGGCGGTCAAGTTGGCGGCGGATACGTACGCAACGGCCAGGAGGACGACCACAGTTGTTTTCAACAAAACCATTTTGTCGGATGCACGATGGCGGTGACAAATTTGGGGGTGTGGTATCGTGTGCGGACAGACACGGACAATGCGAAGGACCGTCGGAGTCGCTGGACACAGACGAGACTAGAGACTAGTCGACAATGGCACACAAAGCGATTGACTGCGATCAATTGCCACACGTAACGTAACAATCAACGGCGCAGCAGTGCTGTTACGGCTACAACAAATAAAATGAGCGTATAAATGTAGAATATTATTATTACAGACGATCGTCGTGTGTGTGACGTGTGTATTGTGCAAGCACAATATATAGATATACAAAATAATGATATAATATATATGTGTGAGTTATATACTTACGCGTGATTCGTGGGATTGTGTTCGTGTGTGTGTGTAATCGAAATAAAGACCTCTGGACAGTGTTTATGGTGTTCTACACTGACGTAGTCGACGCAGCTTCGTTTTTGCGACTGAACAAACGTCGGAATCAGCTGTGCGCACTGCGCGACCTGCTCCGAACGACCAATATTGTAACTATATTATTTTTTTAATGACAATGACGACCGTGGAACAGTCGATCAGCAGCGACACCGTGGAAGAAAAACGCACGGTTCGTCGAGGCTGGAAGGCAAAGCGATAATAAATAATAATTATAAATTATATTATGGCCATTGGCCATTACTCCATTGTGCTTACTGAGAAAACTCTCAACTCTCAAGCATCGTGTTACGACTAGCGATCCGAATTCCATCATTTTTTTTCGGAAAGAGAAACTTTTCATACAGGGAAATTATTATTATATACTTACGTTATTTCATAAGGCGAAGCTTCAATGTACAAATTAGCCATAAGACTAGACAAATACTTTAAATGAAAATTGAAAACACTATCAATTTTCTGCACGTTATTAAAAAGCCTAAAAAAAAAGTCAAAATTAGTTTTAGGCTCCGTGCGTAGAAGTAGTGTGACGCACGTGCGTATACACGTAAAATCGCAAACTTGGGAAAGCTACAACTACCAAAATAATGGTTTTCTCAAAAAAATTCAAACAGTTTCTAAATTAGCTTTAAAAATAGGTCTTTCAAGTAAACATTGAAATTCGTAAGGTAGTTTTTAAAGGGCATTTCTGCTGAAAATTTATAACATTAATAAAATTAATGTAAGGAGATTTTCCAATTATCATCATAGCAGAAGATAATTGATTATGTAAGACTCCAGCACCCTCAACTCGTACATATTATTGTAATTGAGACTACACATTTGCTTTCATTATCGTGCAAAAATTAAAAATCATTGTTAAAAAATCTATAAAAGTAATAATAATCAACTAAATTATTTTATTTGAAATTAAACAAGTGTATATTTTCATAGTGATTTCAATTAATATTTGTTTAAGTCTACGCGATTACAAATTGTTGGAGGTTAAATTAAGTAATTTAGTATAAACTGCATGGAGTATGACCTGTGGGGAAAGATCAAGTTATTGAAGTACCTATTAATGTTTAAGAGGACGTAACACTTTTTTTTGTCTCCGTCTTACAGTGCGTAACTGCAAATGTACGTTCAGCAGATCACTTTTAGCTTAATAAGTTTAAAAATTAGGGTGAATCGACTTTTAATGAAACTTGATTATAAGAACATTATCTGTGTTTGACTAAGGGTTTTAATAACATTAAACTAGATTTATGCCAGGATTTTTACAATTATTCAGTTTTGAAGTGAATTATGAGCATTTTTAATTTACGCTATATTATATAGGTACCTACGCAAAATTTGCTAAAAAATTGAACTATCGTAAAAACCCCACATATATAATACCCACCCAATAACCTACACACATAGACATAGGTATTACTCCTGTTGTAACTTGTAAGTGACCTCGAGTTACAATAAGTAATTACTAAAAATATTTATTTTCTATGAACAATGCAAATACCAAACTCGTAATTAATTTCACATTGGCTTTTAATATTAAATTTCATCATGAATTCTCTAATGTTGGAAATTATCTTATACTTACAAATTATTAAATATACTTTTTCATACCAGATATCATTATCAAAACATCTATAAATAATGTTTAATGTGGATGTTAAAGAAAATATATTGAAGGAATGGCTTGAGAAATTACCTTTAAAAAAGTGTATGTTTTGTTTACCTAATATTACGGGTGATTTTTGTCATGACTCATTTATCATGGCCAGTTAAAGTAACATAGGTAAGTATCATATTATAGTGGATCCCTTCAGTGACGTATTTAGGAATTTGTCACAGAGAGGGTCTAGAAGAAGGCTATAACTTCCAAAATAATGATTTCAACCGATTAATTTTTGCACCCTCGCTGTATACATAGTTAGGTTTCCGAAAAAAAAATTGAAAAATTCGTGTTACAACTAGGTAGGTTCTAAACTAGATTTATGCTGACTAAAGATATCTTTATAGGGCTGTGGTCAAAACCACCACGGCCTTGAAGATATCTTCAAAATCGATGATTATTGATTTCCACCTTAGGTCATATATGATCTACGGATTTCCCTCAAGAAAATTATCTTCGGGTATCTTGAATGAATTTCGCAATCGCCAAGCACCCATTTTGCGCATTGATAACGTGATTCCACTGATAAGTGATAACGATGACTATCCGTACATCTGGGTCCCGCGGTGGTCATCGTCCCGACACCCTAAAGTCCGCTCCGCTGTTACACGACTAACGACGCTCGCCCCGCAGCGCGTTAAAATATCGATTTTACCGCCGCAGGACACCTAACGTACCGCTGTTGTTGTTGTTGTTGTTGTTGTTGTTGTTGTTGTTGTTGTTTTGATTGTTTGATCGTTCTTCTGCGTGTCAACACCGTAATGTCCGTAAACATGACCGAAGAAGTCCAGAGCGACGAGGTGTTCAAGAAACTCGACGCGTTGAAAGACATCAGGTGAGACAAGAAATCCGTCTCGGCTGAGTAGTCACATCCCCGCCGTCGTAGCACTTAGGCTGTTAATCATTTGTTCCATCGATACCCTTCCCGTGGTCTAATTAAGGCGATTTACTTGTCAATCACCAATTATTTTCATGCCTTCATCCCCAATGACACCCCCACCCGTGTTTTCGGACGTCCCTCCCCGCCGTCCCCTCGTTTTGTGTGTATATGTGATTGATTTTTCACAGTCTTGGACGAGTTCAATCTACTGATCATCTTACTGATGGATGAGCCATTGTTCTCAAACTAACCTTTGTCAGTACCTAGACGCTACCAAACCATAACATTTTAAGAAATTAAGCCAGTACCTACTTATGCATATGTCACATTCTTTTATGTATATTTCCTATACAAAAGATTATCTATAATCGTTTGTTGTAGGTAGGCAGGTGTTTATCTTCAATCTTGGTAGGATAAATCTTTATCTCAATTACAGCCAACTAGTTATTTTTAGATTGTTTGGTTTGTTGAAATATATTTTTTTCATATATAATGAATGATATTATTGTTTTAGAGACAAAACTGAAAAATTAGAAACTCTAAAAATGAACATTTTGAAAGAAATTGAAGCAAGTGATCAAGAAGATAAATGTCTTATTGAGTATCGCAAGGAATTGGAACTTTTACTACAAGAAAAAATGGCACATGTAGAAGAACTTAGACAGATACATGCTGATATAAATGCTGTTTGTTTAATATTTTCAACTTTAGAATTATTGATTTATGATTTTTTATTTAATTATTTGTATTATTTGTATTATGCAGATGGAAAGTGTAATAAAAAAAGCTGAAGAATCTAGAAATCGATCTATGGAACGTGCTAAACAAGTCCACGATGAATATAAACCTTTGAAGACAGATATTGACCTTATGCGTAGAGATTTACTTGGACTTGAACGGTTACCAGAACTTCATGAAGAAGAAAGTGATCTTGTGCGACCAGAGTAAGCATTTAGTTTTAAATTTAGTAGTGAATTGTTGTATGGCTAATGACTATATAATACGTTTGGTATTAGTTGTAGAATTATTTTGCAGTTGTAAGTATACAATCTCGTTCAATCATTTTCAAATTGTAATAATTTAAATTTAAAAATGATTTGAATAAAACTGTAATTATAAGTTCACAAAATAAAGTATAACTATAAATTAATTTTATATATATAATAGGAACTATTTATCGTAATACTATTTAAATTATTAATAGTGGATTAGTTTTGTTTAATTTATACTTTGATATAATGCGAACTTCATGATTGGATTTAATAGTTGTCTATTGTTCTTAATATACAGAGTATTTATATTTGACATGCCTATATTAAGACTGAGCATTTAAGGTTATGGTTTTCAAAATATATTGCAAAAAAATCCTTTTCATTATTTTTTCCAATCATCTTAGATTTTTTGTAAATAGTTTGAACTAATTTTGTTACAGTCTATTTGTCCAAACCTATTTTGACAAACAAATCAAACCGGCTGTGTCAACACCCCCAAATTCAGATTGGCACAATGGTGATAGTGTGCAGAACTTAACTCAAGCTCATCAGCATGCTCAAGCTGCTGTGGCGGCTTTTCTTGGATCTCAAGCAGCTCCACTTCAACAACTTGCAACTAGTAGCAAAATGGTGAATGGTGGACCTGTAGATACTAGACCAATACCTCCAATTCCTGGACCGCCAGCATTCAGGTACTTATAATTAAACAATATCATGTATTCTATATATTACTGCATAGAATATATATATTGTTTTTGTGTAACATGCAATAATTAAAAGTTATCTCTATTATGTATTTTTCATTATTCATAGTTAAAACTTTTAAAGGTATGATATTTATAAAATATATAATATAATAGTTATTATCAGTGGCGTAGTGTGAAACTTGATGGGCTCATATGGAGTGGTGGTCCTTAAATACAGAAATTATTTAATAGTGATGCTAGAAGCTAATAAAAAAAAATTATAATAATTTATAATATAATTGTTTTATTACTTATACATTTATTTAAAACAATACAATTGTATACTTAAGACATTTTTGAGCCTTTATTTTAGCCAACTGGTCCAAGGCTTTAGCTAAATGAATTTTCTATGGAAATAATTGATAAACCAAAGGCTACGCCATAGTATTTCGTAAATAATTTTTTATTATTTTCAGTTTTGAGAATGATCATTCTGCTGCTGCAGCCATGATGATTAATGTCAAGTATAAAATAAAAACAGTGCTTACATCAGGGTATGTTGTTATAAGAGGAGAATATTCAATTAATAACATTTCTACAATTTCTTTCATTATTTTGGACTTAGTCAATTTTATATATCCTTACAACATGAACAAACATTATAGTTTCTAATAGACTTAATTTGTATTTTGCTTTAATTGTATTAAATTTCTTCATCGTATAAACATATAGTACAGTTAATGAAATTGGTTGAAGGTATTTAAAAAAGTAGGAATCAATTCAAAAAAATTGAAGTCTTCGTTCTATTTTGTTCATACTGTGCTCAAGTATAACATTAAAATCCGTGATACTAGTTTTTGGTCTTTACAAAAACTGTTTTTAGCCTAGTTTTATTTTTAACTTACATTTTCTAAAAATAAAAATTAACCTGAATCTTTTTTTATTTATTTTTACATGCATTGTAAAAGTTGTGTATAATACACAACATGTAAAAGCATGTAAAAAAAATAAATTTGCCTCTTGAAGCCCCTCCCTAAATACGCCACTGATTATTATTATAATATTATATTACTCTCTTTTAAAGTAATTAAAATTGACAAGCATTTTAATTTCGAAATTTATTTTTGGTAAAATTGTGCCCAATAATACATAAAAAAAATTTTTTTTCACTTTATTTTAAAACACAATCTGTAATAATTAATAAAAATGTAATATTAAATTATTAATCATAATACAGTAGAATTGATAACTGGAATCTCTGGGATTAATAATAAATGTGACTATTTATTTTTCGAGTTCTTTACATCACACATAACATTAAAACACACTTTAAAGAGCTTTCTTGCCCTCATTTGAGTTGTTGATACTCAACTACATTTAAAAGTAAATTATTGTTTTTTAGCTATTAGTATGGGCTTTTCAAACACCAAGGGTAATATTTAATAAATAATGGACATTTTTTTTCAAATTTTAATTATTTTGAATAAATTCAATTTGTATGCAGCATTCAAACTTTTTCATCCCGCTGCTCCTTTAAGTGTACACTAAATGTTGACAGCTCCCAAATTATAAATGACAACAAAATCAATGTTTATATGAATGTAATTTATATTTTATTATTTATTTGCCATATTACATATATAAAAAAAATTAAAGCTATGTTTAGCGAATGATTGTTGTAGACAATTCAACGTTTCCCAACTGATGTGCCTCAATGATAATAGTAAACGTTTTTTGTAAAAATATTTATTGGTTTTCAATGATACTACGCGGCTCCCTTTGACAACTCCCGCAATGCCCCTGGGAGCCGCGACGTACAGTTTGAATACCTCTGGTATACAGCATAGATCACTATTCAAGACAATCTTCTAATTATTTGGTATATCTTAAATTAGAGATTATTCAAAATCTTTACTATTGTACTATCTGTCTGTAGTCTTAAATGTTACAGTTCTAAAGTCTCAAATATCAATTAACCAAAAATACATTTTTCAAAAATAAAAATATTTAGGTATTCTAATAACTATCATTAAAATGTGTACTGTTAATTTTTTTAGACAACAACCACCTCCAATGAAATCATGCTTATCTTGTCATCAGCAAATACACCGTAATGCTCCAATTTGTCCATTATGCAAAGCCAAATCCAGGAGTCGTAATCCGAAAAAACCAAAGAAAAAAGATTAACTAGCAATAACTCAGAGTGACAAATCTGAATTAAAACTTTTAATCAGAATTCAAAGTATATGAGAATTTAAATAAGTACTTTGCTGACACTGAACTGGCTTTTAAAAATTAGACATTTTAGAATTATGGAAATGTCTATTCATTTTGTTATACTAAATAAGATCTTGTTTAGATGCTTACTTTATAACTCAAAATAGGCTGAAAAAGCTAAATATGAAATTTAAACTTAAACAGTATTTTTATTTTTTAAACTATCTTAAGGATCATGTGTATAGTATATTATATAATATAAATACAGTGCTTGAATGGGAGGGGGGCAGAGCTTCTCTACTATTATTTTTTTTTTTTTTAATTGGATTGGTGGACGGCACATACTGCTGCCCGAAAATTTTTTTGTTTGAATGTGGATTTAAATTGTTGTGAATAATATTACCTAAAGAATTTTACAATTTTTAATATGAAAAATATTAGCTTATTATCTTGTCTATGGCTTAGAACAGTGGTGGCCAAACTTTATTTACCTCAGGCCATAAAAAAAAATTTACTTTAGTCATCAGAATTTTAGGTATAGGTGTATAATTTCATATTTAACGACGTTTTTATTGTACATAAATATAAAATATTATAGTTCTTTCGCGGGCCGTAGTTTGGCCACCACTGGCCTAGACTACCTATGTGTTAAGTAATCTTGCACTCAGACTGCAGTTTTTAAATTGTTAAATTGATCTCCTTTACTTAATTTTTCCCAATTCGAGTACTGTATATATTCATATTATATTTTAAAAAATGACAGTATTAAAATTTAAAATTTTTAAAATTGTGATTATCTTAAGCCCACATTCCTAAAATAAGTATTAAATTAAAAAAAAATGTATTTCTTTGTATTAAATTTTTTTTATTAAGTATTTATAATTTTGTATATTCAACTCAAATTTATATTTTCTCAGTTAATTATAACAAATATTATCTTAAGTGATTTGTGTTTGTAAATAAATAATTTTTATAAACATATGATTATATAATGCCATTTAATATTAGAAGCAATAATGAGTGTATAAATGTTTTTAAATTTACTAGTTCTATTGATTTGTGTATTTTGCAATTTCAAAGAAAATTGTCAATGATGAATTTTATCTATTTCAATGAGTATCAATATACAATATACCTTTGTCAATTTATAATATTTATAAATTAGGTATTTTAATAATTAATACTTGATATTTAGTTCTAATCCATATACAGTGTTTGATTAATTCTGGAATGTATTTTCGAGCTAATGTTAGATTATTGAAGGTATGTATTTTTTTTTTTCTTAAAATGCAGTTTTCCTAACGATTTATCATTTTTAAAAAGTTATAGCTTGAATTTTATTAACAGATCCTCATTTATACCTACTATATTCCATACCTTTAAATCTTCTTATATTAGCAAGTTTTAATATTGAGAATAGAAAAATTACACAATGGCAATCAATTAAAAATGTAACCTCATATTTTATACTTTTTTCTGCCTCAAAATCATTAGTTTGTTGATACTGAAAGAAACAATGCTTAGTTATATCTTGTAGTGAGGAACCAATTTCAAATATTTATACTCTATTCAGAATGAGCAAGGTACTGCCAGCGACCAGTATTCATCGGCTGTGCACCGATCGCCGTCTGCCACAGCAGTCAAATACTTCTGCTTACAACACTGGCGTGTGAAGCAAAGCTTCGGAACAAAGCCACACCATGCGCTCAAGTCGGCTGCCCGGGACATTTATTGTTTAGAATATAGAATAGGCACTAACCTCTAGGCTATTTTTAAGAAACTAACAAAAAAAATGTAGATTTTCCTTATGATAATTGTGTATATGTTTTGAAAACATTGGCACTCATTGGTCAAAAAGTGTTTTGGTACCTTAAGGCTTAAACTTAACCATTCACTTAAGTCAATTATTTGATTAAATTGGCCGAAATACATAGATCTGAATAGTCAAAAATAGGCAATTCTCAATCGACTAAGAATTCACACAATCAACTCCATCAAGCCCATAATCGTCTACTGCCCAAACTTTGAAGTAGCCAGAAATTAATTTAAAATTTGGGACAATTTATGATTACAAAGGAATTGGTCCATTTTCAATTCACCTCAATATAATTTCCATTGTATACTCTATTCTGAATGAGATCGTACCTTGGCGGAGACCAGTTTTCGCCTGTGACGGTCAAACGCTTCCCCCACCTAGAAAGCTCGTGAGACCAGCACTGCGGAACGAAGCCACACCCATGCCCAGAAGTCGGCCGCCGAGGTACGATCTGATTCCGAATAAGGTACAGTTGATGTTAAAAATGAAAAATAATTTAAAACATTTAATAACAATTTATTTTAAACTAAAATTGCTAAGACATGAGATTGTATAATGATCATCTATAAATTTAATATAGCAATCTATAATTTTTTTATGCAATTTAAAAATAATTTCAAGGACAACAAATATAATTTTATGAAAGTATTACTAGCTAACACTTTCATTAATCCTGGTCTTCTGATTTTTTCTTCTCTTGCTGTTTAATGCGATAATCAGATAATGCTGCCTTAATAGCATCCTCAGCCAACACTATTAAACAAAAATTATTAAATTATTAAAATATCCATAACAAAAAATAAATGGTAGGTTATCTGTTATTAGATTGAACAAATTATAACTTATAAATCTGATGTTATACATTATAACTTATATAAGCTATTGTATTATAATAATTCAACAATTACTTGAACAGTGAAGCTTCACTGGAGGCAAAGATAGTTCTTTGGCGATTACTGTGTTCTTTAAGGAAAGTGCTTCATCAACCTTATAATATATTAGGGATTTAAATAAATATATATTTAAATAGGTATATTAAAGAATACAATAAATATACAAATAAACTAACAGTTTTTCCCATAACCCATTCTGTAGCTAGTGAACTAGAAGCAATAGCAGATCCGCAGCCAAAAGTTTTAAACTTGGCATCAACAATTCTACCATTATCATCTACTTTAATCTGTAACTTCATGACATCACCACAAGCTGGTGCGCCAACCAATCCAGTTCCGACATTCTTGTCATTTTTATTCAACGACCCAACATTGCGGGGATTTTCATAATGATCAATAACCTGTAAGCAATGTTAATTAATATGAATACCATAAAGCATAATATCTGACAATGTAATTAAACTAAATGGATAATACTATATAAGGAGTCTGCCATTTGTATTTGACCAGAGGGATGATTTAAAAGTAATTTGATCAATATAATTCAACTCGACTTAGATGTATACATAATATTATAATATAATGTAATAAATTTTAACGCTTACGTTTTTATGATAGAAGAGACACGGAACGCTGTTAGCCTTCGTCGTCAGACACTTGGGTATTTTGTTTAAAAACATGATCACTGGATTTCGTATTTGAATCGAATGAATGACGATTGCAACTGCTGAGTGCAGACTGAAATCGAAATGAATGAACAACGATGAGAGTCGAGATGTTGATCAAAACAAGTTGCACAATATTGCAGCCTGCAGGGCTAATATGCAGGTATGCTAGACAGAAGTAGTTGAATGAGCATTAAGTAATAATAAATTGCAATTCAAAAATGAAAATTGAAAACTTAAATGCGCGACCGTCAAGTTGCCGGAGCCAGTTGTAATCGGTATCAGACTGACATCACTATCAGTTATCAGAAATTGTACATTATTTTGGTAAATATTTACCAACGATAAGACAAAAGAGGAAAAAAAAAATGTTGCTAATGTAAACCTAACCTTGTACTCGAATGTTCATGACCATGTTATATCTATATAGTAATATTGTTATTGATTTTTTTGTAGCTATTGTGATGTTGTCGACGTCCCTTCAATAAATACAGAACAATAATAAAATTGTACCTAACAGTTGTACTGCAGCTAAAGGTACAAAATACAAATCAATCAACCAAGGTCACGTTTGAAAATTAAGAGTAGAGTACAATTTATCATAATTTGACTCGTCATATGTTGTATATATAGATACTATTGGCATGGTCTCCGTAAACTATTCCCAGTTCCTATGAAGGTTGTACCTATTTGTTGCTAGGGATAATACTTACAAATCGTGCTTATTTACATAATTTAATTAATTTGTTCGATGAGATAAATCATACGGATTATACATTTATACGCAGAAGTCATTTTACCTTGTTCATAACACATTAAGTAGGAAAAACGATTCTTAATCCTTCCGAATAACAGTTGGGTACCTACATATTGTTTTTTGGATCGTTTAATTTTTCAATATTATTTTTAATTTCTCAACTTTTATTAGTGATCAGAGACCTCTGTACAATTCAGTTTCAAGCTTTTGATTGATTTCTTTGATTACTCCATTTCTTGAGGGTAATAATGCAGAAATTATTGAACATGAAAGAGTAATGCCGTCATGGAATTGCCTTCTGTGTAACTTTCAAATTTTAATACTAATATATTGTACACCGTTATTGATTAAGTTATTATACATTATTTATACCATGAAAAAAAAAAAATCCGTGTTCTAATGGTAATACCTAAATGGCTAAAGCTAAATACCATCGTCATTAAATACCAATAATTAATCTATATGAATTTAAATTTGTCTTTTTCCCGCCATAATGAAATGTATGCAAAGAAAATCTAAAGTTAATATTTCTCATTATTCAATAAATTCATAATGTCTTTCTTTTGGATGACATGATTATTAATAGCCAGATTAAACTCAATTTAAACCTCGAACGTACAAGAAACAATTTACAATACAAATTCGTATATTGTGTATATTTATATTATTATTGTGTATAGTTGCTGGTGTATTAACTGTGTGTAGATGTATTAAATTGTTTCGGTGTATGGAGACGAACAGTTGTACCTACAATATAGTATACGATAACCAGTGCTCGAATTCGGAAAAAATAGAAAAGGGATGCAAAAATGTGGGTACCCGAGTCTCGAGTATTCAAATTTCTTATCGATTTCGATAAAATTATAAAGGATGCACAAGAAATATATTTAAAAAGAAAAGAGGTACGCGGATGTCCCCCGCATCGCCCGCCAATTCGTGCACTGTTTGATAACAGAGCACAGTTGTGGCAGTTGTAGCCTGTAGGTAATCATGTCATGTACATTGTCAAAGAAAGCGTCTATCGTGGTATCGTGAATTCGGTTATTGCTTTTGTGTTGTGCCTCGAGTCTCGACGTCGATCTCCAAGCGTTCAGTAATTTTGCTTGTCCTGTCATAATATTGATATATATCACCGTTCTGGACGCCATTTTTAGTACATTAAACATTATTAATTTGAATTTTAAGTGTTCGAATTGTCATAAATTCACCATCAAGTATAGTTAAAAATTCCTAACTGGACGTAATTTAATTTTAGAGCGTAAACGTCATAATCGTTAGTAGAATATCTTTTATTTATTTTTCTACATTTACCTAGACTTATTAATTACAATGATTGTAATTTTACTATAGAAAAATGTCAGGTGATGAAGATGCATCCAAATCGCTACCATCCACATCTGAAACAAACAACATTGAAGAGCCAAGTGAACAGAACACACCTGAAGGCGATGCCAATACAAATGCCGGTGCATTAGAAGCTACTGATGATAAAGCTTCAACTGCCGATGAATACATTCGTCTACGTGTAATAACTAGCGATATGACTAATGAAGTACATTTCCGTGTAAAAGCTGCCACAGCTTTGGTCCGTCTGAAACGCTCATACTGCAGCAAGTTGGGTTTTCAGGTTGATGAATTACGTTTTGTGTTTGATGGCCATCGAATCACTGACGATGATACTCCCAAAAAACTAGGTATGATCAATGACGATGTCATTGAAATCTACCAAGAAAGAACTGGTGGTGGTATGTAATGTTTATAAATATAAGTTAGTTGTTTTTATCAACAATGATTTATTTTTAATCGTAATTCTTTATATATTGTAAACAAAAAGTAAAGGGTTTTAAATGGTTCTCCTTCATCTACATCTGTAGTTAATTTAAATGACCATCAATTATTATACAATTTCATGTTTATCTAAAATTTAAAAAAAACTTAATTTACCATTATTTAATTAAAGATTATAAATTAAACAAATGTCAAGGAACTCATATTTTATTTTTGAATATTTTTTATGTATTTAACATTTTTAGGATTAATTTACCTAGACTAATAATTTGTAATAAATACATACAATAAAATTCAATTATATGTTTAATTAGATTGTCCATAACTTAAAATACTAGGAACCTTCAAATAATGATCTACCAATTAGAGGTAGGTAATATAATTTAAGTTCCTTTTCCTATATTGTTTTTTTCTATAGTAAACCAATCTTGAGTAATAATTATTAATATTTTGTATTTAATGTGATGGTATATTTACCTATAAACTTGTGTATTTTTTATTTAATTGTACCCCAATACAATAATGTAAGATATGGCCGAAGCTAAATTAACCTAATAAGTGCATAACTTAGTTCATGCTAAGGTTTATGATTTGCCTACTTACTATTAAATCTTAAATCTAATTTTTTTTTATTACTTGTTATATTTGTTAAGTAAATATAAATATTTTATTAGTTTGCATATTAAATTACATTTAATTGTAGGTATTTATAACTTTAAAGAATACATTTTTACTGTTGAAATATGAATTAATAACCAGATGCTTAATTTATGTTTAAATTTTAATTACCATGATTATATTTACTAAACATTTAAAATAAATAAATATATTAACTATTTTAATTAACTATACTTATCAAAATAAAAATAAAATCAATAAGATCAATTAATTGTTGCATTTTTATTATTTATTGTAAATTAATTTTTACTTAAACATCATTTTTTTTACATTAAACTATAATATTAGTAAAAACATATTAAATATATAACAAAAACGACTCTAATTGATTATCATTAAAAAATAATATTTATTTTGATGTATCCATATAAGCGGTATGTATAGCATTGAACCATAAAGCTACACCATAAGCTCCAGCATCCATTTTACCAACAGAAGTAACACTTTCTACATAAGAAGCTTTGCCAAATCTATAACATTAACAACAAAATTAAATTTATATCATTTAGGTACACAAAAACCTACAACATATATTTTCAAACTAACTCTGCTTTCATTTGTTTTACATCATTGCAAACATCATGTACATGCCGTAATGCTTTTTCTAAAACTGTTGCATAATCTTTAGCATTTAAGTCTCCATGTTCCTGAAATACTTGATGTATCGCAATTATTGGATCAAACTAAAAAATTATATCAGTAAATTAAAATAAATACAAACTCTGCCTCATATAAGGATATTCTCAGTTTTCAGGCTTCTTCACATGGTGGCTTCAATTGGTGTGACTAATGTGTACTGAGTCTCACACTTTTGAGAGTGACGCTTTATTTTTTATCGTTTACCTTGAATTTTGCTCATTTAAACAGCCGATTGTTAGAAATGAAAGTTGACCAAAACCAATTTATCAATGAGTGTGATACTGTCGTTATACTAAACCTGATGAATATTGGTTATGGTCTGAGGTTACTCTTATATGAGACAATAAATAGGTACTATGTACAAGTAACATAATAAATTTATATTTAAATGTAATAGGCACCATGGTTTTATCTCCTTTTCTTGCACTTGAATATTTCATAGATGTATCTAGTGCATTCTTCAACGCTCCACTCCAGTCTAAATAGTTCATTGAAGCTAAATGCCCAGCAGCTCCAGTCAACAACAAACTATAAAGAGCCCCAGAGGCTCCACCCATTTTATCCTCACAGATAAATGCCAAAGAATACAAAACACTGGCTGGGTAGTTTAGTGGAAGTTTGTTTAGAATGGTAAGCAATTCTAAATTATAATTCAATTTTTATTTTAAAGATTTAAAAAATTTTTAAATAAATATTTGTAGTAATTTACCAGAAGCAAACCGTGAAATAGTTGAACCATTGTCGCCATCTCCGATTTCCTGATCCAGTTTATTTAAGACATCGACATTTTTCAAAAGATCTTCTCCAATTTGTTTCAATATACTTTTTAATATTAAACTTGCTTTTTCTGATATACATACCCCTAACTACATACATTAATTATTAAACATGCATAAACCTTTTGCACTAAAAATAAAATCCATTTATTTTTAAATGAAGTTGGTGTATTCTGACTTGCCTTATATAAGTATTAAACTGCCTATCATTACAATAAAGTTTAAATTAATAGATATAGAATATTAAATAACTCCTGATTTTATTTATTTAACCTATAATGGTTATAATGGAAATTATCAAACATAAAGTACCTAGTATATGATAGAAAAATAAATAACATTTTTAATTATGTATTTTTATTTTATTATATGAATTAACACCAAACAGCAGTTTGTAAATATTATTATAAAATTAGCTCTTCTATTTTTGTATTTATACTGAAAATACTAAAGAGTAAATATAATAATATAATACAATGCCACAGGTGTATGCAACACAAATGTTCTATCTTTTTTTATATATATTTGGTGCACAGCTTTAATGCATACGTAATAATTAACTATTAAACTATAGAATATTTACTTTAGGATTTATATCGTCAATTTTTGGAATTTTTATCATTTCCGATTTCTGTTTTTCAATTGTTTTGATGCTCATATGATTTCCTGGCCAAGCAAAAGCTGATGTTTCTTCATCTATATAATTAATCCATTCTCGATTGTCCGTTACATCAATAACACTTAATTGAAATCCATACATATTTAGAGACACAATAAATGTTCCCACAAACATACGGCTAATGTCTATTTTAAGTTCATCTATAAATGATTGTTAAACTTATTATTCAAAGTATTACAAGCCTACATTCAAGAAAACATTAAAAAATATGTAGATGTCCCTGGATAAATCATAGTTCATAATTATTATTATTTATATAATATAATACAGATCAGCGGTTCTTAAATTGTGCTCTGTAAAACCCCAAGGTGCCAAAAGAAATTGTATTAATTACTTTATACATAAAAATTATAATATTTCCGATTTTGTAATCTTGAGAAAAAAAATTTAATTATGAAAATAGGAGTTCTGTTGAGTTACATTAATAACTATGGCATAATTAGGAACTAGAATGGCTAAACTCCTCACACCAAAAACAATCCAAAGTTTCTTGACAATTAAAAATCCAAGGACCACCAGTATCTGTATCTCATTCGTACTGATGTTATCAACCATAAAGTATACCATAATAATTAATAACATTATTATATTTTAGTTAAAAGTTGCAGATCATTTTATAAATGGTATTTACAAAAACAAAAAAACAATATATTATTGTATACATACCAAAATATTCTTTAGCGTATTTAGCCAATGCACCTAACTCTATGTGTGATACTAATCCGAGGTTATTCACAATCAAACAGATTACGCTGAATTCTTTCAAACCTAGGGTGCTACATATCTTGTCTACAGCTAAGCGGATCAAATCTTTCACATCACATGCCTATAATTATGTTCATTATTATTAGTTTGATAAATAGTGTATAAATATGTTACTGAACTACCTAAGTATATCATAACAAGACATTGGTACCTATATGAAATTGTGAAGTTTGTATAAACAATCAGGCCTGTATTAATGTTTAGTTACATATTAAATGTTTCCCTAGAATGTAATAAAAAAAAAAATGTGAATTATTTATCCCTACTTTGTATAATGAAAATTCAGTGCTCATTATGTAAAAATATCTTAATCTCAAAAGACAAAAATGTCCGGGAGACATTGAAAGTTCTTAATTAGCTACATACCAACTTAAGAATTAATATATACACTTTATAAGAAAAACTAGAAAAACAAATTTCTTCGGCTGTTAAATGTTCACAATTTAATTAAGATTTAAAAGATTTTTTTCCTAATTTGGAAATAATATTTAGTATAAATACCTCATATCTATATCTATTGAAAATGAAATTGATGAACCCTTTTACTGTATTAAAAAGGGCTGAAAACTATAAAAAATAACCAATAAAAGAATACTGTATAGTGTATAATATTATAAATTATTTAGACAACACATAAAAAAGTATTTAGTTTGTTAAGTTAATAATAAATTATTAAAGAACTTAACTATTATTTTGTTTATGATGTATCTTTACTATTATTGTACTATGTTAATTTTTTTTCTTAATAAATTTAATTAAAATAGAAATATATTTGACATCTGTATAAAAATAATATGTACAGGTCGGTGGCTAATATATAGGGGTGGGTGCAGACTGCAGGGTACCTTGAACATTTCGCCTAGAGTAATGGACAATGGTAATATTTATTATTTTGTTTTAAGAGGGCGCCACACCCGCATGCGTTGTCTCCGTCTTACAAACGAGTAACATACCAAATTTACGCTCAGCAGTTCAAGTTGTATGCCGTTAGCTTAGAAATTAGAGTGAATTAACCTATTATGAAACTTGATGGTGAGAACTTTATCTGTGTTTTGTTGGAAGTTTTTTTACAATAATTCAGTTTTTAAGTGAGTTATGAGAATTTTTAATTTACATTTATTATACAAGCATACCTCGCTTAAAAACTGAAGTATCGTAAAAAAAGCTTCCAACAAAACACGGATAAAGTTCTTACCATCAAGTTTCATAATAGGTTAATTCAATCTAATTTATAAGCTAACGACATAAAACTTGAACTGCTGAGCGTAAATTTGGTATGTTACTCGTTTGTAAGACGGAGACAACGCATGCGGGTGTGGCGCCCTCTTAATCTGAGCCTGTAAGCAATATATGGGTATTATTATTACCTTTTTAATAATTATTACTTATTTTTTAGTTAGTTATAGTTTTGTACAATATATGATATGTATTTGATTATACTTTAACTCTTGAAGTCCCTGCTTCTCCGTGTAATCCGACTCCGAATTCAAATTCTCCTTGTTGAAGTAAAAATGATGGTTCTTCACCAGGTACATTACATGAAGTTGCACTTATTCCTAGCGATGCTAGCTTTTCATTGATATTTTTACCCAAAGACAACAAATCTTCAATACTACTACCTCGTTTAGCCAACACACCCAATATCTACCAACAATAAGTAAATACCTATATATAAATATTATATTTTTAATACTTTTTTTCTATAACTATTTCAAGCACATTTTTCAATGTATCTAATGAGTAATATTTCAAACTTTATATCTAATTTAATAATATTTAACTCTAATAATTACTTTAAAATGAATTCAATATTAATAGCCCTACAATGTATTGTGTGTATCTATAAATTATATATATTATAAATTAATATATATACCTATACTAAAAAATAATAAGAACATGGTCTGGATTTGTAGGATTTTACTTATCATTACTGAACAATGAGCATAATATATTGTAACTTATAAGGGTAAAAAATAGGTACTGTAATTTACAATCAGAAAGTAGGTATACTGTATATATATACTAGCTACAGAGTACGGGAGTTGAACAGTTGAACAGTGTAGTAGGTACCATTATTCCAAGTGACAAACTGGCATGTATCAATTATAAAATTACATTGTGTAAGACAAAATATTATTTTAAAAATCATATAAATTACCTTTATAACATACAATAAACCACACATGCCTCTTTTCCCTACTTTTCCTCCAGGCCTTGAACAATCATCGCTCACTATTAACTCGGCCACCTGAAATTAAAAAACCTGGTTATTTTTGATATACAAATAAGTTTCTCTTACTAAACAATCAATAATATCTAAATAATTCACATTAATATTGTCGATTTTTTTTGCTTTTTCACAGGCCAATCCAAAATTAAATACGTCACCCGTATAATTTGCCACGATAAGTAAAACTCCGCCATTACCTAGGTATAGTACATAACAACGTTTTACATGTTTACAAAATTACTCAAAATAAATAATATTGAAGAAGTCAAAATTACAATATCATAGGTACTAACAGTTGTAATTATTTAAGTATTTGATTGCCTGGTAAATATTCAGTGATGAACAACAAGTAAACACATAACCACTAACAGACGCGGATAACATCCCATCACCAATATATCCTGTAAACACATTATAAATATAAATAATAAATAAGTATAAGTTAGAAACTATTATAATGAAGGGCATAAGACTATAAGTTGAATTATAAGCCAAAAATCACAAGCTTATTATATTTTCTACCTGTAAAAGGTGATATGAAAAACTGAATGTGTAGGTAAAGAAACATGATATGTATAAAGCTTTATTATTATAATATAAATGCTTATAATAGTTTCGTAATTAAAACCTTTTCATATTCATTACCTACCTACTTTTAATTATAACTTTCTATAAAAATAATTTATAGGATTTAACAAATAGGTAGGTAGGTACCTAATAAATGTTATAATGGTTTGTATTTTAATACCTAATATATTATTTTGGGTTAGGTTACACTTTTGTACTTACCAAATGGATATGGTTCGTGTCCAGATCCGCCGCCACCAAGTAAACAAACCCGTTTTTCTGAGTTCTAAAAATAATTTATAATAGTATTCAATTTGTATAGTAAATATAGTACCTACTAAAGTTATAATACTAATTATAAATAAGACTAACCAATTTTAATCCAACTATTCTACTCTCTGGATACACATCAAATGCAGGATAGGTGTAAGCTAACCCGTCAAACATTTCTTTTAGTAAGACTCTGCCATTTTTCAACAGGTATTTTTCGTCTGCTTTTGAATTTTTATTGGCCATCATATATTATACCTATAGGCTGTAATCAATTTTGAATGAAAAATACTTTTCTTTAGATAAATTTTTTTTGTATTTTTTACAAGTTTAGGTTACGTACCTACGTAAGAGTTATGTCAGATAAATATGCTTAAGTACTTACTTACATATAATTATAATCATAATAGTTATATTCCTTTTTATATATGGAAAATATTGATGAAATACGTAAAAATTAATTAATATGTAGGCACTATATTTATTAATAATATAATATTATCTAATGCATGTTACAATATGACCTATATGGCTATACAATATACATACTTGACAGTTGGCGCGTTATAAATACGATCACCTGAATGTATTAAAATATATTCTACAATACTCTATTATTACTCTGATCTCAGAATTAAGCCAACTATGAACTTGATATAAAAATTAAACCATAGTTAACTGTTCAAGAATCATTCTATTTAAAATATAGCGTATACAAATACGCTATACCGATACAAACATATGGGTAATATAAGAAGATACTTATATTATCTATGGATACATAGCGAAGACTAAAGAAGTAACGAGTGGCCAGTGGAATATATTAGGCAATAGGTATAGTAGATATCTAATTATCTCGTATAGTTATATTTAAGCAGTAACCAATTATAACGGAAAAAACAACTATAACAGTGACCTACATAACTAAACGATAAACGAGTTAATATAAGGGTTAGGTTATATAGAATAGCTGTATTATACTAAAAAATATACATAGTATTTTAGTGTTTATAATCAATGGTCAATGACTTACCTATATAACTATATAAATATAGATATATCATATATCATATATAATATGGTTTTTTTTATAGATCCGCCGATCATAGATCTATATCATGTGTATACGCCACCGACCACCTTATTAGTTGTTAGCTATCGATGAGTTACGACTTTACGAGTATCTAACTACGAACTACTTACGAACTTAAAAATGTGCGTGTGATACGTCGAACACTCGCACGCGGCACGTATAACCGTGAAACTAGCCTAAGGTTAGGCGTATAGGAGCTTAAGACAAATGTTGACAATTTATTTTGTGAAAATGTCAACTTAGCGTATTCGTTGTCATATTATGCAATAATTGGTCGTTTTTAAAAATATAATTCGTAGGTAGGTACAATAGGTACATCACAGTACAAAATATGTAACACGCCTATTGTCTAATCGAGTGCTCAAGCCTGTTACCCCTCCCACGTCACACCCTATGTCTGTAGGTTGCCATTATTTTTACTTAGTGCATGATTTATTCAGTCATAGGTTACTGTTTAGTGTATCACATGGGTATTTACTAGAATGTATATTTATTATAGACCAACCCGTGGAATACTGGAATTAACCATACCTACCTGATTTATAATAGGTGCACAGTCACACAAACTTCCATACTATATATTATATGCACTTTATGTCTATATATTAAAATATACTACTGTAATATAGTCAGTAGTCAAGTGGGGGAGGGAGGGATAAGATGAAATGGGATCCCTCCACTTTTTATGACTCATATTTTCCATCCTTCCGCTTATTTTCTACGACTCTTAAAGCAATATATGAGAACTTAATAAATTATGAAAGGCATCTGTCCACTTATTTTGAGCCACTTCGAGTTTCGACCACTGAATATAGTAGGTATAGAGATCTGTTAATAGACACAATAATGCACTTGCTTATATAGTTATATCTATATGATACCTAATATACATGTATTTTGTGTATTGAATTTAATACATTAATACTATAATTTGTATAGCCATATAGGTAGGTACCTACCGTGTTTGTGTATAGATCTGTCATCTGTATTATAGGTACAATCAATTAAATTAAGCTGATGTTCGATATATTTACCAGTTATGGATGTGTGATATGTCAACTTCAAGTAGGTACTGTAATTTTCTAACTTTATGTGTCTATATATTAGTAAAAGAGTAATGCATACAGTATACTATAAAATACAATACAAGCCTATGAAAAAAATAATATTCCGGAATGAATGTGAATTAAACCTTTTTACGCGTGAACTACACAATATATATATCAATGACCATTACCAATAAATAGGCAGGTACATATAGGTAATCACATCACATACTAAATTTATATTTATGTAATCACGATTCAAGAAACAAGAAGATAAATAGATATAGATTGCAAAATACAATGTACAACAAATTTATCTTTTATAGGTGAAGTCCAATGTTGTAGTCTCGAATTTAATTACATACTTCAGATAACTGATAAGTATATAGGTAGCGGTAGTTTTAGGTACTAAAGGACATAGGTACCGAAGGTACTTATAAAAAAAATAGTTATGCAGTAGTTTATTGTGACGTATATAAATTACCTAATATATGTATGGTCATTTGTTATAAACTAGCTAGTACAATATAATGTGACTATTGTTAATTTACTAATTATCCGCCTGCTATAATAGTGGTACTATTTCCTATTATCTAAATTATACTGATTAGATAATGTTTAAAGGTCTACATACCTATACATATTATATGTGTAGACGTATTATAGTAGGTAGAGATATATACCTAATGTGTTTTATATAAGTCAATAGCTACAAAATTCACATAGGTATATTATATAAGTTGTACACTATTACTATTTGTTAGTTTACACTAACAAATGATAAGGTAGGTACCTACTTATTATATACCTACAAATTATACAAATACAAATGTAAGAAATAAACTATTTTTTATTAAAACAACAATTTGTAGGAATACTCTGGGTATTTTTAATTCTAGGTATTATTTACACATTGAGTTTTATGCAAATATTAATGTTGATGTTCAGATAAATAGAAAAAGTCCAAATGTGGTGATTTTATCAATTTTATTTATTAACTTCAAGTGGCAGTTTTAAAAGTAGATATTATAATTTCATGACGAATTTAGATATTATTGAATAACAAATCAAATGCAATTAAGTAATATAGTACCTACTAAAATTAAATTATGTTATGATTAAAACAGTGACGTATGATGATTGAGGACTTAATATTATTATAATATCATTAACCCTGAACGAAGCATCTATAATGACGTATTGACGTGTATAGTTCGAAGAGGGTGGTACATAATGATCATAGTCCATAAAAAGTGAACCAACCAGGAACATGGAAAAAAGGGCGTCAATCGTTTTCGCCAAAAAACTCGATTTTTGTTTCCGCCAATTCTCGTTTCTGCCAAAGCGAGAAAAGTTCGATTTTCATTTCCGCCAAATCTATTTCTACCTACCTATCTAAATATTATAGTTTGAGAACCATTTAGAGTTACCCTGGAGCCACCACGAGGAGGCGGTTTTCACTGACCCCCCAAAAATTGTTTAATTAAAATTAAGTTAATTAAAATTGAATTTGTCTTACAATATAATATATATAGTCGAATATTTTTGAATAATTATTTAGTATGTATTATTTCGAATAAAATAATTTCTACCCTTTTTTAAAAAAGGTCATTCTTGAAATCTTTTTGTTTTTGTGTGGATTACCTAGTCGTTTTTTTAAATTACATCTCATAGGTTTTTGCATACACATGTAACTGTTAGTTTGAATGTATATGCTGTTTTGAACATTTGAAATTAAAATTTTAAAGGGTTTTCAAACTCCAACTCAATAATATAGGTAGAAATAAATTTGGTGGAAATGAAAATCGAACCTTTTTCGTTTTGGCAGAAACGAAAATCAAGTATTTTGGTGATGATGGCCGCCCGAAAAAAGTATCGTTTCTGGAGTGATGTTAGAGTAGGTAAACACGAAGTTGTATGTTCTATAGAATATTAGGATCAATGGGCCGTTGAGTAAGGAAGAAATTAACTTGAAATTGACGGATCCAGGGGGGGAGGGCAAAGGGGCATTCCTTTCCAAGCTCCGTAGTTTCCTTAATTTTAGCCTATTTCCCACTGTAGTGCAGTTGATGATGATGTCTATTGATGTAGTAAATTGTTTTGTTTTTCCCAACTCCCCCCTTAAAAAAAAAAATTAGCACTAACTTGACATCGGCGTCAGAACTAGCGGATACTCGGTCATAAGTTAAAATATCGATGGACAACATACATATAAATTTAGAGAGGTGGACAAGTGAGTATACTATAAGTTAAGTTAAAATGTTAATTTTTTTTAAACTTCCTACAATCCTGGAAATTGGAAAAACAATGCTAAAAATAACTTGAAAATTAAATTATCGTATAAGCAATAAATATAGTTGTATGTACACGTCAAATATTATGATATATGCTGTTTATACTTAATGTAGACAATATTATGAACTACCAACTATACCTATATTATGTAGTGATGCACTTACATTGCCCGGACATTATTTCCAAACTATAAATTCAAAATTGTATAAAAAAAAAAGTGGCTCTTTGATGTACAATATTTTATTGTATTTTTCGAACACTTCGGTGCCACTGCTGTACAGTATAATAAAAAAATTCAATAAAATTCATTATTATATCTTAGGAAATAAATCTTTTTGAAGACCGCAATCACTCAATATGATCTACCCAATTTTGAGAAAAGCTGGACTAACAGTCTGGGCACTTTTTTATCGTCAGATAAAAAATTTGAAACTACAAAATACTCTATTAAATTCTCATCTATAGTTATATTATATTATATTATATATTACTATATACTGTGTACTGATCCATGTTTGTATTTTTTTTTAAATTTGTATATGGAACTATTAAATTTGTAAAGCTACCTTTTTTAAAGTTAACACATAACATAGTAATGTAATAGAAGTCTTAGAGTTTTGAACAAATGTATATGTATTAAAATTCATTGCTATAAGACGTAAGTACTTAGCCAATGTCGAAATCCAACAAAATATTATTAGTATAATAAAATAAACAATATAATAATAATAAATATAATTAATTACATTTTTAAAATTAATATTAATTATATATTTATATATATATGGTTATAGTAATTAGTATGTACATTGTACGGTATACCTATGAAATAAATTAAATAACTACAAACGAAGATATGATATAATATTTTATATTTTCGGACTATTTGTCCGACAATAAAACACGAGTAAGGACTTTTTATCACGCTTTTTTTTAAATGGACTTATTGACCGATTATCTACCGTAAAGAGTACATGGTTTTTTTTTTTAGTTTTCAACAAAAAGATTTTTACAGTGCGTTTGACATAATTAGTATAGTCGGTTTTGGATTCTGCTTTACATTTTGCTCTTAGTTCGGAAAAGTTTTATTAGATTGAGATAAGTCCAATGTCCATAACGTTTATGTAGATTATATATTAGTATTTTCCCTAAAATCTTTTGGAGGGTGAACACAACTCCGTAGTTCATAAATCAAAAATTGAATCGTAATCCCCGCGCAAAACAAACAGCCTCGTAAGAACGTTACCATGCTAACCAAACGAAGGAACTCTGGAGCGGTCGAAACACACAATGATTATTTTTGGCTACACATATTAAAAGCTCCGTCACCGCCGCTGCCGTGCGAATCTATCTATACCTATTTTTTTTTTTTTTATAAAAACGACCGAAATGAAAACGAAACCGACGGCAATAAAAACCACTATCTTACGGTTCTAATGAAATTATATATTTATTAATTTTAGTCTCAGTTTGGTTCAAGAGCCTCACGAAATTGATTTCAGAGCCGCATGCGGCTCGCGAGCCTCGTTGTGGCAACACCTGATATATATAGTGAAAAACATATGAATTATGAATACAATTTATATCTCTAAGAAGTTCTAGGTATGACAAATTACCCAGCTACATAATAAATATTCAAGTTATTTGAAGTTTGAAGTTTATGTGAACGAGGACGGCTGGGTCACGAACAATTAAATTTGTAAAATAAACGTTTCAGATGTTACTGTGATTAACTACCTAAGCAAAATATACATTTTTATCTTATTTTACTGATGAACCACTTTTATTCTATATGTATATATTTTGTTGTGTTTGCAATTTAAGACTTTCATTAATTATCTGAACTATTCAATTGGTCTGTAATCTAAAATAACCACCATAAAAAAACAGTTAAAAAAACTCTTTAAGGTAGGGGGAGCTAAAAAAAATGGTGTAGTGATTTTATTTTCAAAGAATTTTAATAGTGATTAAATAATATAAATGTTTAATACTGGTAGTTAAATAAGATTTTATTTAATATTAAAATACATCAACAATTAATGATAATAAAGTATATGTATATACTAGATATTTTGCTGATCAATTCTTATAATAAAAACTGATAAACTGAGGCTAATAATTACAGTATATAATTAATTGCAATTTATTATTTATTTATATAAATGGGACTATTCTTAAAGTTAAGCAATAGGTTTCAATACAATTATTTCAAATTATTTTAAGTACAATAACAGTATACTAGTATTATAGACTATAGTATAGCAATATGTTTTAGTGCATTAATTGTAACATTTTTTAATAAATATTAAAATCAATATTTATAAATTTGTCTTAAAAGTATTAAAAACACAAAATTACAGTGTCTACATTTTCTATGGTTAAAAAAAACCTTTTAAATAGTATCTTAATACACGTCCAATCAAAATATTTGATATTAATATTTTTTTAAATATTAACTTTAATAAATAACCATAAGTTAAATAACAATATGAAAGGAAGTATTTAAATAATTGATAAAATTGTTATCTACTTTAACGATACATTGTTTTTTAAATTATGAAATCTATTCATTAATACTGTGTACAACCGATGAAATTAAGCTAAATTGAGAATACAAATTATTATTATAGGAAAATTTAATGTTCAACTCTCAAAAAAAAGGAAATAATATTAATTTAAACAATAGCTTTTATAACTGCATCAGTAAATTCATGAGTGCTGCTTGAACCACCTAAATCCCTCGTTCTCACCTAAAAAAATTGGTTAAATTGTTTTTAAATTTTCAAATCCAAAATTTACATATTATAATACTAAATTATATTTTACATTAAAATTAAGAATAAGGTATTAACAATACTCACTTTTCCTGCAGCAAGTACTTCCCTTATTGCATTTCTGATGGATTCACTATAATGTTGTAGATTAACATGTCTTAACATTTTTGATGCACACATCAACATTGCAGTCGGATTAGCAATATTTTTACCGACGGCGGTTTGAAATACGTGTCTTGCACCCTAAGATAATTATTAAAAGTTAGTTAAAAAAAAAAGCATTAGTTAATTTAATATTATAGTTATTACTGGTTCAAACACAGCACATTCAGGACTGAAAGAAGAGCTAGCGACAACACCTGCTCCACCTACTAAACCGGCCGCCAAGTTATCCAATATGTTACCGTATAAATTGGGCATGACTAGAATATCAAATTGTTGAGGATTGGATACCATCTGCATAGTACAGTTATCGACAATCATAGCTTCAAAGTTGACACCAGGATATAGTTGCTTGATCTTAAAACAAGAAAACATAGTTTAACAAAACAGTATTTAATTTGTAACATGTATAATTTTTAAGTATTTAAATAATTCTATATTTATAGAATTGCCAACTTACCTCTGAACAACTTTTTAAAAACAAACCATCTCCGAGTTTCATAATGTTAGCTTTATGAACACATGTAACACGTTCACGATTATTTCTAATAGCATAATCAAAAGCAAATTTTGCTATTCTCTGAGATTTTGAAGCAGTAACAATTTTTAAACATTCAACTACACCCTAGAAGTAATACAATATTTAATAAATAAATAAGTAATAGTGAAAAAGTTATCACTTACATCAACTGATTCATGTTCAAGAGCTGAATATTCTCCTTCTGTAAGCTCACGAATAATTACCATGTCTATATTTTTATGTCTAGAAGCAACTCCTGGCCAAGAAACTACATGGACAACGTTGGAATATAAATCTAAGCCTTTCCTGAGTTTCATATGCAAATTTTGAAGTTCTCCAGAATAGCTAACATCTGGACTCATTAATGCACCCTGTGTAAAAAAAAAAATAATTTGTATGACATAATCTATATTTAAAGAAAAAAAATAATGGCAGCATATAAATTACCATTAAACAAATTCTATTGCGATTGATTGATTTGATAACATCTTCAACTTTAGCACTGCTAGAATGTTGTACTTCTGAAAATAATATGGTTTCAAAATCAATAGGAGCTCCAATTGCTTTCAGTACTGTTTGGACGGAGTTCATCAATTCAGGATAGACTCCATCACCAGGAATTAGTGTACATGTAATTCTTTCAACTGGCAAGTTGGAAAATTTATCCTGTAAAATAAATTATTTAAGTTGAAAATCAAAACTCAGATATAGGTACTAGGTATGTATTAGTTTACTTCATTTGGTTCACCAGATGCAAAAGTCCTAGCAATCGGTGACTTGATGCCCACAGTTTTAGCGGAATCCTAGAAATTAAGACAAAATAATTATGTAAAATTTTTAATAAATCAAAAATTTAAGATTAATTTTACCAATGGTGACGGAGTGTGGAGACATTTATTCCCCAATGCATTTTGAGCTGACTGTACAAAAATGAACAAACATAAAACACAATACATATTATAATTTATATAAGAAAACTGTTAAGAATAAGATGGTATATTACTGTAGAAAATTAAAAATTAAATATTATCATAAATTTATGTATTCTTGTACTTACTCTGTTCATCAGTAGTTTCATTCCATTTTTAAGAATCGACATTTCGATTAAGTCGATTACTTATAGTGTTTGAACTGCGAAAATTGTAGGAAAATTAATTATTAGTGTCGAAGAGTAAAAAAAAACCTACACCTTCGGACCTTCCGGTTAGCAATATTATATTTCTAGATCGCAGTATCAAAGAAAAAGAATCGGTGGATCGCAATGTCCAATGAAGTCACAGATTTCAATAATCATCATAATTATCATACGGTAATCGTACCGTATGTACAACCCTTTAGAGGGTAACAGCTGTAGATAAGATCGGTATGATTATACTGATAAGAAATAATGAGAACGACTTAAACCGCGGAAGTAGACGACAACGACAAATAATATTTTGAATTTAATTATATTCTTAGTTCTTACCAACTAGAGTATATAGTTATACGTTCGTACATAATTTTTAATTATTCTACATTTGTTCTATTATAATTGTACTATTCGATACTTCAATAGCTCAATGGTCTGACGATAAGAAAAAAACAGAGTACGTGATTCTTGACTATAAACTTAGTGACATAATGGACAACAGTCGCCGACTTCTCATATTGTACGGTAGTCAAACTGGATGTGCCCAGGAGGTCGCTGAAAGGATTTGGAGGGAATCAAAATGGTACCAAGCTTTTTTTTATTTGAAATTTGGTCTTAAATTCAGTTAAGCTTTTAAACGATTTTTTGGATTTTTTTTGCATTCATAATTTGATGGTGCATTCAAAAAAGTCGCTTAAACTTAATTTGAAATTTTTGGTCAAAGATATTTGAATGCTCGATTTTTTCAAAAATCGTGTTTTTTAATGTAAAATGCCAAAAATATTTTTTTTTTTAGAAATGTTGGTTTTTATACTCTCAAGTCTCAATATAGTTTAATTACTTCAAAAAAGTCCAAAAACTCAGTTTTGAATTACCTTTAAATCTCGCTTAACATGCAAATTTATAATCAAGTTTATGTGGTTTATTAACAATAACATAAAAAGTTTAATGTATATTTTTCTATTTGCTAGGTTTTTGCTTTTATTGACTATTCTTGTTTATTTTTAAATTTTGATACTTATTTATTATGTAAGTTTTAAAATTTAATAATATATTTTGTTTTCTGTTTAGGTTGCATTATAGTGGACCTGTTATTGCAATTGATGACTATCCCATTGACAAATTAATTTTTGAAAAAAAAATTATTTTTGTGTGTTCAACTACTGGACAAGGTGACCAACCAGATAATATGAAAACTACTTGGAAATTTCTATTAAGAAAGAATTTACCTTCTAGTTCTTTAACTAATGTTGAGTAAGGAAACTTTTCTGTTGATGCACTAAACATACAGTTAACGCGTTGAATGCATTCTCTTTTTAAGGTATAATGTAGTTTACACCCAACTGTCATGTTAATTTTTCATTTGTTCATAAATATCATATGATGACGCTACAGCTAAAAATTAAATTGTAGCAAAAGCGAGTAGCGCACTTTTTTTGATTTCATATATTATTTGTTATAAATCTATGCAGGTGAATTGGAATAAGATGTCTTTATGATTCTTATTACACTGAGTCAAAGAGTAAAGATATATTTTTTTAAAGTAAAGAATATATAGATTTTTGACTATACCGACCCAATTGTTTTTTGTTATGTATTAATATCATTTTCAAAACACCACTCTGAAAAACAATTTAAAAAATACTTGGTTCCCATTTATTATTTCATACTCATTGATAATAGGAAACATGGGTTTTATACTCTTTTATGGGTACATTCATTTTTGTCAGTATATTTTAAAATTTTAAAATCAAAAAACTTAATTTGTATTAAACTTTGTTGTTTTGCTTTGCATAAGTCAACTAGTGTATATTTACTGGAATTCAGCTCAGTCAATGTATTAAATTAAAATATTATTTAATAAAAAATGTATTATTGTATACTATTAATTATCATTGTATAAATATTGTAGGTTTGCTGTTTTGGGTTTGGGAGATAGCTCGTATGTAAAATTCAACCATGTTGCTAAAAAACTATACAGAAGGCTTATACAGTTAGGAGGAAAACCATTATGTGATATTGGGTTAGCTGATGACCAACATGATATCGGTGCATTTGCTGTTATTGATCCATGGATAGATAACTTGTGGAATGTATTAATTGAAAAACATCCACTTACAGATGGATTGACACCTATAGACCGAAATTCATTACCTCCACCAAAGTACATTTTAAAATAAATCAATAGCACATTTTCAATGTTTGTGACTAATAAAATATTATATTTAGGTGGAATGTACATACTTTAAGTTCAAATATTACTATTCATAAAAGTGAAACGTTACCTAATAGTGACCTATTAAAACCAAATTCAACAATAGTCACTTGTTTATCAAACACAAGAACTACAGCTGAAAATCATTTCCAAGTAATTTGTGTTTATTTCATTATAAATAAAAATCAGTAACAATTTTATATTTACTCGTTTTTCATTAAAACTTAATAAATAATAATAATTTTTATAAATTCAAAGTAATTTTTGTATTTGCATTGACAAAAAATAATATATTTGAACCTTAAACTTGATAATTCATGTTTGGTACATTTTTCCTAGTGTCAGCCTTTTGGGCTGCAGCTTACTACTTTTTTACTCTACCCAGCACATCTTAACAGGTATCTAACTAAAATTATACATTTAGATCAATCAATATGTATCACTTTCTTTGACATGGGCTTACTGATTATAATTTGTATATGAATAACAAATAATATTTATTATATTTATTTAATCATTTATTTAGGATGTACGATTATTAAAATTTGAGTATTCAGAAAACAATATTAACTATTCACCTGGAGATGTTTTAATGGTTCGTCCAGTTAACTCTGAAACATCTATAAACATTTTCTTCCAATTGCTGAATGATAATAAGAATATGAAATTGAATCCTACTACATTACTGAATGTGGTCCAAAGCAGCAATGATATGCCTATACCTTATAATTTGAGCAAACAATTTACTTTGTATCAATGTGCTAAATACTACTGGGATTTAAATGTAAATATTTTTTAGTTGTAATAACATTTATATTTTTTGATGATAAATGCAATTATGTAGATCATACCAAATAGGTATACATTTCAATTGTTGTCATACTTCACGGATAATGAATTGGAAAAAGAAAAGCTGAAGGAATTCACCACCCCTGAAGGACAAGATGAACTATATAGCTATTGTAATCGCCCAAGAAGAACTATTTTAGAAGTATTGGCCGATTTTCCTCATGCAACAGCTAATATATCTTTAGAATACCTTTTTGAAATTTTTTCTCCGATACGTGCGAGAGCCTTTTCAATTGCTTCAGCCCCTTCTGTAAGTTTTTATTTATACAAAAAATTACATACATTTATAAATGTATACAATTTTATCATTATAATGAAATATAATGTAAAGATGACTAAATATATGGATAGGTTAGGTTAAATTAGATTAGGTTAGGTTAGGTTAGGTTAGGTTTGCTTCTCGGTATTATTTATAATGTGAAATGGTTTTGTTTTTATTTCATAATACAAAATATTTAAAAGTGTAGGTATTATTCCCAAAAGTCCAGGGTAACTTTTATGCATGAATTACTCCCTGAACATTTTTTAAAATGCAGCAAGAAGATTTGAAAGAATTTTTAATATTTTATCATAAGACGTGTAGTCTATTAGATAACATAATTTAAATTAGTAATGTAAAATATTTTGTACATCATAATCTATTATTGAAATAATTTGATTTAACTGAGTATTAAGTTCTGTGCAATGAACAATGCCATTTTTTTTATTTTTGCATACATATAATAAGAGTATTTATGAATAAAAACAGCTAATATTTTTTTTTATATTACAAAATATTTTTCACAAATGTTGTAACATAGCATGTATGCATAACAGCATACTAAAATATTACATATATAAATATTATGTATCATATTATACAGAAGTCAACAATATGATTTATAGTTAACTATTAGTTTCATTTAGTGTATTTAGTAAATTATAAATATGCTTTTTATAAAACTATTTAGTTTTAAGTTGTATTATTTATTCATTGTTTTGTAGGTACACATAAATGAAATACATTTACTTGTTGCTGTTGTTACATACAAAACAAAATTGGTGGCTAAACGAATTGGCTTGTGTTCTACGTGGCTTTCTAGCTTAAACATTGGTGATAAAATTCCAGTTTGGATTCAGAAAGGAACATTTCAGTTTCCATATAGTCAAGTTAATATTTTACTTTTAAAATATGAATTAATTTATATTTTATAATACAAACAAAATTGTGTAATTTATTTTTCTAAATATTTTATTTTTAGTCGTGTAATGCTATAATGATTGGACCTGGTACTGGGGTAGCACCATTTCGGAGTTTTGTGCATGAAGCTGTTGCTAATAAATGTGGAAATGCAAAAACTTTACATTTATATTTTGGTGCTAGAAATAGATTGGGTGATTTTCATTGTGTTAATGATTGGGAAAAACTAGTAGCAGATGAAAAATTATCTTTGTATACTGCATTTTCAAGAGATCAAGATCATAAAATGTAATTTTTAAATTATTTCTTGTTTTATATCATCAAAATAAATAAATAGTTTTTTGTTTTTTTCAGTTATGTACAACACATTTTAGAACAAAACAAAGAAGAATTACTTAAATTACTCTCTAGTAAAGAATGTTATGTATTCGTTGCTGGAAATGCAAAAGACATGCCAACTGCCGTAAAAAATGTATTTATAGATATACTTACAAAAAATAAACATTTAAGTACTATAGATATAATGGAAACTAAAGGATTTTATCAAACCGAAACCTGGAGCTAATATTTTTATTTTACATCAAATATAAGCACAATTAAATATTATATTTATTAAAGTAATTTATACAATTTAATTAAAATGTATCAATTTACTGAATAAAAATTATTAATTGGACTAGATAGATAATTGATTATGCTCTATTTATTGTTAAATAATAAAAACTTATCATGTGTGTAAGTAAGTTGTGTGAATTTTATTTATTTTATTATTACTTATTAGACAATAGAAAGAGCGAATTGGCTTGTAGAAAAATCAAGACACCTAACACTTTGCCGGTCTATTAGAAGTACATGGTGGGCATGTTTTCTGTATTGGCCATTA